CAGCCCCTTCCCTGACTGGTAGGCCTGTTTGCCTCTGACCTGTAGGGCCCAGGAGGGCCAGACCTCATTCCTTCTGAGGAGAATATGGTGGTGGTTATCATGCATGCCTCCTGTTAGTTGTCACCTTGTTGAGGGGACTAACCAAATGCCACCCTAGCTTCGTTTTCATGGATACACAATAAAAAGACCGTTTATTTTTAACGTGTTGACTTTTTTTCTTTTTTTTTCTTTTTTTGAGAGATTTTTGTTATAGGGTATGTGCATTCGCCAGAAACAAAGAAAGTGAGAAATCACCCCCCAGGGGGATGGCCACACTACAGTCCCTTCTCTATTCTCCTCTTAGGATTTTGGGCACACATGCATACTGTGTGTTTCAAACCACTGGGTCCGGAACTTGAACCACAGTCAGCCGTGTGGGAGTCCAGTGCCTCATGCACTACGCCACCTGCTGGCCTCTGAGGTGTTACTCTTTCTTTTGCAGTTTGGGACTCCCATGGCATGTAGCTCCTGGGTCTCAAGGATCACTATCTGACTTTGTTGATTCTGCACTTTTTTTTATTTGAGAGGTTTTTGCTATAGGGCGTGTGCACTCGCCAGAGAGAGACAGAGAGATCAAAAACGAGAAATCACCCCCCGGGGGGATGGCTACACCACAATCCTTTCTCCTCCATTCTCCTCTTGGGATCTTGCGCATGCATGCACACATGCTCGGTGTGAGTTTAAGCCATGGGGTCCTGGACTCGAACTGCAGTCGACTACGTGCGAGTCCAGCAACGTAGCCATTATGCCAACAGCTAGTCCCTTGATTCTGTACTGTTAATGTTGCTCTTGGAGTAGGTGGGTCAGAGCTACTCACAGATGTGTTTGGTTTGAGGATGTGGGGAGGGCTTCAGAAAGTTTATGGAAAACATAATAAAAAGAAACTTTGTTTTGTTTTGGGGAGAGGTTTTTGCTATAGGGTGCATGCGCTCGCCAGACAGAGAGGGACAGAGAGACAGCGAGAAATCACCCCCCAGGGGGGATGGTCACGCCACAATCCCTTCTCCTCCATTCTCTCGGGATCTTGGGCAAGCACGCACACATGCCTGGCGTGAGTTTAAGCCACTGGGTCCAGGACTTGAACCGTGGTTGGCTACACAGGAGTCCAGCGACATAGCCATTACACTAACTGCTGGTCCCCAACTAAGTATGTGTTTTAAAAATGGTTTGCATCAGGACCAGCAGAACCAGACTCCCACGTGGCTGACTACAGTTTGAGTCCTGGACCCAGTGGCTTGAAACTCATGCCAAGCATATGTGTGCATGCCTAAAATTCCAAGAAGAAAATGGAGGAGAATGGATCGCAGCATGGCCATCTCCCGGGGAGGTGATTTCTCGCTTTCTGTCTCTCTTTCTGTTTCCAGCAAGCATACATGCCCCATAGCAAAAATCTCTTTAAAAAGAAAATCGTTTGCACTAAAATAAACATAACTTAATTCCATTTTTCCATGAACTTTTGTTTTTTATTTTTATTTTTTGGAGAGATTTTTCGCTATAGGGTGCGTGCGCTCGCCAGACAAACAGAGACATAGAGACAGAAAGCGAGAAATCACCCCCTGGGGGGATGGTCACACCGCAATCCCTTCTCCTCTCGGGATCTTGGGCACGCATGCACACACACCTGGCATGAGTTCTAAGCCACCGGGTCCGGGACACGAACCGCGGTCGACTATATGGGAGTCCAGCGACATAGCCATTACGCTAACTGCTGGTTCCCTGAACTTTTGTTTTTAAAATGTAGATGTATTGGGGGACCAGCAGTTGGTATAATGACTATGTCACTGGACTCCCATGTAGTCTACTGCAGTTGGAGTCTCAGACCCAGTGGCTTAAACTCAGGCTAGGTGCATGTGCCTGTGTGCCCAAGATCCTGAGATGAGAATGGAGGAGAAGGGATTGCAGTGTGGCCATCCCCCCTGGGGGGTGATTTCTTGCTTTCTGTCTCTCTCTGGCGAGCACACATGCCCTATATCAAAAACCTCTTTTTTTTAAGCTTTTTTTTTTCTTATAATTATTTATCTTATTTATTCATTCATTTATTTTTTAATTTGACCAGAGAGAAACAGAGGATGAGAGTGAGAGAGAGAGAGGAAGTGAGAAAGCAAGCCACCAGAGTCAGGACTCGAACCCTGGTCAGCCATGTGGGAGTGTCCAGCGCCTTAACCACCACGCCACCTGCTGGTCCCAAGCAAAAACCTCTTTAAAAAAATAGATGTATTTATCTATTTATTTATTGTGATTTTCAAACTACCTGGACTCAAAAAACTGCAGTTGGCCCTGTGGGAATCCAGTACCTTAATGCCACCTACTGGCCTCGTGAATTTTTTCTTAATTGCTAGAGTGTGTGTACGCCAGAGAGAGGGCAGGAAAGAGAAATCAGCCCCTAAGGGGCACGGTCATGGCACAGTCCTTTATTCTTATCTCCATCCTTTTGGGACATACATATGTGTTTAGTATGTCTTTTTTTCTATTTATTTTAATTTGGCTGGAGAGGGAGGGGGAGAGAGAGAAAGTCAAGCTTCCAGGTCCAGGACTTGAACCACAGTCGCCATGTGGGAGTCCAGCACCCCCAACCACCAGTCCACCTGCCAGCCCCATGCTTAGTATGTCTTTTAAGCCACTGGGGCC